GTGTAACTCGTTCTATTTCTAATCTGTGACGGGCCTTCATTTCGCTCACTTCTGTTTTCAAACGCTTGTTGTCTTCGTCAGTGGTTACAAGCCTGGAATATGCAGGAAAGAATTGAATATCTGCTAACAACATAACGTCATTTCCGAGTTGCAAAACTCTCCCTTTGAAAACGAGGCTAACTGAAATGGAATTTTCAATCAATCATCAAAGGCTTCGCACCGACCCTCGTCTTTAAGCAGAGGCATTCAACATCTAGCAAATAGCTTAACAAATATGTTTTTCTGGATTAAAAGTGAAAAATTCAAAGTTTCTGAATCTCTTTGCATAAAGGCATTCGAAAAGATCGTATTTTGCTTGAGCTCACCGGAACCAAACTATTTTCAAAGGCAATTCGGAATGAAGGACATCACAAGGAATAAATGGTAACTCAAATTAATAAATCTACCCAGCTTCAAGCGCGGGAAAACGCGTGTGACCAGATCGCGACTGGCTTTTAAATGTTTGCATTTAATTGGTTTGGGATAAATTCACGTGAGGGTGCTTTATTATTATTATTATTATTATTATTATTATTATTATTATTATTATCATCATTATTAGTAGTAGTATTAGTATTATTATTAATTATTTATTATTATCATTATCATTAGTATTATTATTGATTATTTATTATTATTATTATTATTATTATTATTATTATTATTGTCATTATCATTATTATTCGTACAAACCTATCAGCGAACTCCTGCCGAATGATGTCGGCCACCTTCCCTCTCTCTTCCTGTAGCCGTTTGGCCACTTTATCAATTCCTTCTACCTCTTCATCTTTTTGTTTCAACATGCTCTTCAAACGCGCATTTTCTCCTTCAACTTCGGATAAACGAGCCTGTAACAAAACAAGTACTTGTGCCATGATTGGGAATTTAAATAAGTTGAATAACAACTGGAACGTTAAAATAAAAAAAATTGGCAAATCTCCTTTCGTGAACAACTGATAACATTTTCGAAACACCTGAGGGTTCTTCATTATAAATGGAGGTGTTCTTGCTAATAAAACAGAGGGTCGCAAACCGGAATCAAACACGGGCCAAATAAAACTGAAAATCTCACTCTTTCATCATTATACAACCGAGGTAACCGGTCAAAATATAACTGCAGATGATAATTGACGGTTTATCGTAACTAGAGGGCTTTTCGATCGAGTGTCGTAAATCCAAAACCAAAGTAATCACCACGGCCAATCAGAACTCAAAGTAAAACCAACCAAACTGCTCAAGGCGCGGGAAAACGCGGGTGACCAACTCGTGATTGGTTTTAGTTTTGCATCTGATTGGTTGAAAGAGTGGCGCGAGTTTTCTGGACGCGCAAGACAGATTGACCCCAACTAACTGATACAAATTCGTGTTTGTTTCTTACCTTCATGTTGTTGTATTTTTCCTGCATATTCCGTTCAGATTCTTCTAGTTCTTTCAGTTCAGATTCGTATTTATCTCTCACTCGCCTAAAAGCCAGAAATACGCCGTCGTTAGATTTCGTGTTTTCTTAGACTTTCGATAGCGCTTCTTAGAGCAGAAAAGGTCTTTTTTATGTTTACGGCACATAACCAAAAATGTTTCTGTATTCCCGAGTTAGTTTTGCGTCTAATTGGTTGATTTAAGTTTACGCGAAGTTTAAAAATTTTAAAAGCAAACTGACAAATTCTGTATTCTAAACTACATTCACGACTAGCATCACGACAGTAATTGAAAGACCAAACCAATCTAAGAGTACTTCCAATCTAATTTCATTGAAATACAACATGGACTTTCCACTCGTCGATCGTCGACGACTGTATACATTTTTGCCTTTTTGACTAAACCTCATATGAAATCAGGCTTAGGTCAGGAAGATGTCAATTCTAGACACTTACTTGATTCTGTTCTCCGCGGCTCGCTCACATTCTTCTCTCGCCAACGATGTCTCTTCTTCCAATCTTGAAATCACCATTTCAATTTCCTACGGTAGACAATATGCGTAAAAGAGAGACAGAAAACAGATAGATAGACACAGACACAGACAGACACACAACCCGGAAGACAGACAAGCAGATAGATAAACAGACACACAGGCAGACAAACAGGCAAACAGACAGCCAGGTAGGCAGGCAGACAGACAGAGACAGGGTAAGTTAGTACTATCAGCTGAGTTGGTAACGTAAATTGGCCACCGTAGAGAGTTTCAAAGCTGACTTTTCGAGCGTTAGCCCTTTTTCAGAGCGAATGACAGACAGAAAGACATAAAGGTAGGCCGATAGATAGAGAGAAAGACAGGCGGACACAGATGAAAAGAAAGACAGACAATATCAGACAAAACGGCCAGCTATTAAAAAGTATAACGAAATGCGAAAGTAAACATCAATAAATTGGCATGAGCCTCCCCTCAAGAACACTGAGATGAAATAACGAGAACAATTTCTGCAAAGCGTAAATCGTAGACTTTACTTACTCTATCGCGTCCTTCCCGAACAGCTTCTTTCAGCTCCCGCTCTTTAGTCATTAACATGGCATCCTGTAAACAAACGCACAAAAACAGAGAGGAACAGTCAGGCAGCCTAGTTAGATACCTTCGGCATATTTCTGAGGGAAAATGAAGGGCCACATTACTTTGATTTATTCTTTAGAGGTCAGGTTTCCAGAAACTCTATGATATAACCGATTACTCAAAACCAAAAGAGTAAATTTGAGTTCTGTCTTTAAAGTACCCTACCTGCTTCTTCATGTAATTTTCAATCCAGCCCTGCTTCTCAATTTCAAGTCTCTCTTTCAACTCATTCATTTCCAACTGCAATGCAAACCAAAACCCACCTTAGGTTCAATGATTCCCTCAGTTAACTTGTATTTAACAGATAGAAAAAGACAGAAATGTCTGAATACACAGAGTGAGACATCTATAAAACTCTACTGAAGCCACTACAAGTCTCAGCGGGTTAGATGTCGTAAATGTAGCAACAGAGGAGTGTCGTAATCCCTTACGTAGAGAAAAATATACGCTCAATCTACTCGCAATTTGCTCTGTCGGTTTATATATTTGCAGAGTCCTTAATTAGGCTGAGAATGGCCATGTGCAAGAACGTTGAATCTAACCAAAGATTAAATTGAGCGACAATATATCCATCCACCATAATGCTACTAAAGATAATTGGCCGGAAGTAATTTGAATATTTCTTTACCTGGTGTTTTCTTTCTTGATCATCAATAGCTCTTTGGTGTGAAGTTTGCATCTCTAGGATTGACTTTTTGTGAGATTCCTACAAAAATAAAAACCAGCTAAGTACCAAAAACGAAACGAAACGAAGATTGCTGAAACCTTGGGATAGTCTGAAAACAGTTCTGTCCTTACGCTCGTGGTTTATAAGGCTTGAGAGGCTGTATTTCCGGACGTGTTTTAACACCCCAACTTCAAGAATATTAGTATAAATCTACTAACACTCCAACACAAATGCTGCAATTTAATTGGTGACACTACTAGTAATCTACTCCGTGATAGAAAGTCACGTGACAAACCTAATAGTGAGTGGTTGTAAACGACTTAAAGAAAAACTTGAGCATAACTTGTCACGTTTTGAGTGACGAGTAGATTTAAACAAAACCACTTAAATTTTGAGCGCACGATTCATATCGAGTCATCACGAGCTCATAATCTAATTCCCCTTTAGTTCGGTAAAACAGAAAAACATTCAAGAGGCCATGATGAATGAAGAAGAAACAAAGATGGCTAAAGGTGGAGAAGATCAACACGAATTTCGAACAACAAACTTGAAAAATATTAATAGTAATAATGATTATGTAGGCCAAATTAGACGGTCTTACTTTTCCTATTGGACTTACTCCTAGTTTGATTGGTTTAGCTGTGGTTCCAATTCCACAGGACACCTTTACTTACCTCCAAGGCAGCTCGCGCCTCGTCCAGTTCTTGTCGTTGTTTCTGACCCTGTAGTGCTACTCTTTCCTTCTCCTCCTGTACTTCAGCGTACAGTCGCCGCCTCTGTTGTTGATAAGCTTGTTCCTCTTGCTCCAGCTGCTTTTCATACCTACAAAAACAAAGGAAATGAACACTTAATTATACAAATCTCCGAACTACTAGAACAAAAACTCGTTTAAGTTTACCAACCATCGACGATGATCTATTATCTGCCGCACCGGCTGTTGTTTTAACTGAAAAGAAAATTCACACCTGAAAGAATATTTACCTTTGTTGAGAGAGTTCTCTCTCTCGAGCACAGGCATTTTCCTTCTCTCTTTCCAGCTGATCTCTCAGTTCTTCTATTTGCTGAATGTACCTTCTGCCTGCACGTTCATCGGCCTCCAGCAGCTCCGCCTGTCATCGAATAATTCACAATTGTAAAACATGTTTTCACTGATCAGTCATTAATCCTTGCGGACACTATGGGTGACAACGAGAGAGAGCCACGTGAAAGTATTCAATTATATCTATTTTGTAGCAAGAAAAGGCTGAGCTTCTGATAGAAATCGAGGCGCCAACGATCACAGTTTATCAGAGAAAACCAATCAGATTTCCAGATTCGCAATACGCCATGATCAGCAGATACCAATGAGGTTCCCACCTGATGAGTAGACTTGATCTTTTTCACTTCCGCTTTATGCTTGGCAATCAGTTTTTGAATGTCAGGTTCCAGTCCTTTGACCGTGACTTCCTGTAAATTTCAAACCAAGTTTACAAGGCGTAAGGCTAAAATTGCACACGAGCTAAAAGGCCCACACAACTAGGATCTAGTTCGGTTTCCACAGCAGGAAGTGATTTCCACTCCCTTGGAGGGGACGCTAGTCAATTGCAGATGCTCTCGGCATTTTTCGCGTGTTCCTAAAAAGTTGTTTGTATCTGAACCATTTAAATTCCATGTTGACGAGTGGCAGTATGTGAGTGGAGCGTCTTGCCCGAGAACTCAACCCAGGTAAAGGTTCGAACCCAGACCTCTCGATGCTGACTCAAGGGCGCTAACCAAATATATACCGCGTTCCCCACAAGGCATAAGGCGTTTTAAGCATTTTAAAATTACTGGAAGCGAAACGACCATGTCACTAAGGATTCTTTACCTTGATTTGTTGAGTTTTCTCATTAATCCATTTTTCTCGTCGTAATTTTTCTGCCGCCAGTATAACCTCCTTTTGTTTCTTTAATTCAACTTGATGACTGAAAAGGAAAGATAGTCTTGTTATTTCCCCTATAAGATATTATTTCTCAAATTACGACTGGTTCCTGATGCCATCAACGAAAGTGAGGCCACAAAGACTTTTATTACTGTTCTTTAAGAATATAGAACGAGGAACTTCTCTCTAATCTCTCAATGGCATTGAAAATTTCATGACCAAGAAAGTTCATGAAGAACGTTCACTAATCAAAGAGACTACTAGGATGACAGAGAACAACAACACACGAAATATAAATGTAGGAGGTTCGAGAATTTAACAGGAAAGCCATCAATTCATTCCAGATAAATTTTCTACAACAGACAAATAAAACACCCTGAAGGCTACGCCTAAAGACATTGTATTATTAACCCTTCGACTCCCAGCAGTGATTAACATGTAACTTCTCCCTAAGATATCCCTACATTATTAAGCAAACAGGCAATAAGAATACTCAAACTAATCAGGCAGATGTTGTGACCTTGATCTGACATCAAATTCTTCGAACTAATTTACAAGGAAATGCGTAGCAGCTAGAGGGGAGAATTAACAATCAGATCTTGGGAGTTTAAGGGTTATACTCACTTTTCTTCCATTTGTTTGACTTTATCTCCGTACTTCTTGTCAGTACTTTTCAGTTTGTTCACTACTTCCTCACACCTCTCCCCTAACACCTTTTTGTCATCAATCAGCTGGTCTATGAAGGACAAATGTCTCTGTATGGCTGCTTCATACTCCTGACGTTGTATGGCCAGCCGTTGTTTAGCGTCCTTTTCCATCTCCTTCGCTTGCCTCAGGGTGAATTCACGCTGTTGGTTCTAGTGTCAGAGCCAATACATTATCAATAGAGTAATTATAGACAATGACAAATTCAAAAGAGCATATATTTGAATTTTCTTTCCGACCGATTAAAAAACCATAACACAAAAGAGTCAGCATCCCTTCGAAGATAATTTCCCATCCCCTCCCAAATCATATCCCATTACCCCTCCAGATCATTTTCCATCCTCTCGAAGATCATTTCACATTCTCTCCCAGATCATATCCTACCAAAGCTCTCTGCAGCAGATCATTAGTCCTTTTCTTTTCCTCCAGTTCTATTTTTACCGCCATCATAGCTGTTGTAACATCCGAAGCAGCTGCTGCGGCTGATTCTAGCGCGGCTTCTTCCTTCCTGCAGCGAAGAAAGAGTATTTACAAAGTTAAGATTATGACCAGACAAGAAACGTAAGTTAATTATAAACAAATTATACCCAGGTTATCAGACCACAAAATATGACAAATGTAGGGAGAAAGCTAAAGGCGATCTTATAATTCTTCCTCCTCACGTTGCCACAACTTCTCCCGTAGGAAAGAGAGACTAAGAGTATTGAATCACTTTTCGGCCAAATGTCAGTCCATCTACAGAAACATCCCCTGGGGGTTTCAATGAGTTCAATAACTTTTTTCGTGGGCGGCTGCCGATGGTGTAATAGGCGGCCGCGAGAGCTAGCTCGCAGGCTCAACAGCCGGCGGTGAGAGGTTTTACAGGCGGCGGTAGACCGCTAATCATCGGCTTTTATAGAAACCCCAGATCCCTTCCCCTATCATATCTTGTCAAGTTTTCTTGGTCTATTATTTTCCTGGGTAAAGAGGACCATGGTGAGAGTTAAGTGTCTTGCCAAAGAATTCTCCTCGGCAGTATCTTAAGAAATGTATAGAGAACAGTATGGAGAATATGCATACTGATGTTAGGGTGTAAAGGGTTCATGATAGTCTGCTTGGGAGGCGACTGTTTACACTGACTAGATAACTGTAAGTACTTACTCCCTGTCAACTGCCACAGAAGCTGAGGTACTTGATGACGGTAGTCCACGAGAAATAGCACCGTCTCGTGCCTGAAAAATATTGTACAGCACCACCACAACTAAATTTAATTGTTGTTGTTGGTAACAAGCGTGGCTCTGAGACAAAATCAAAGTTCCTCTTCGAGATTTGAACATCAGACCTTCGGATCAAGGTCTGATGCTCTACCATTGCACTATAGAGAACGTGTTGGTGACTATATATGCCTTAGACAGTACCTCTCAAAAGCAAGTGACGGTCACTCAAAACTCGACCTTGGGGATCGAGGCTCAAGTCGAGTTAAGAGACGTTCGAGTCGAATTTCGAGACGCTCGAAACAAGTTTCAAGACACTCGAAATTAGGAGACAAAATATTTGCGCGAAAAATTTTAGTTTCATGAGTAACAAGTGTCTTTACACGTGAGATCAGCATTGTGGAAGACATCGTGTTTGTAAAAAGATTGTATGAAATGTGGTAAATTATTGGAGGATCAAGCCCTATCTTGATACACTCACACGATGAATTTGAGACAGTTTCATGCCCTCACGTTTGTTAGTTTTTCATTTTAAGTTCTAAAGATTCCAGCAGGAATAGAGTTGTAATTTAAAATGCTGACGACCTCTTGGAATTCATTTACCAACCTGGCTTATCTCACTGATGGCATCATCTTCTGCTTTTTCCACCTCATCCAAAAATGTCAAGATACTCCTAAACGAAAAAGTTACACAAGTCATATCTTGAATACTGATTTCAAGCAACAAGGACATTTTGCAGGATGTCCTTTTTTTTTCGGTGGATTAGCAATTTCTCCTGTTGTGCAGTAACAAATTTTTGTAGTTCAAGGTGACTGAAATTTCTGCTAGGAAATAATTTGCAACATACTCTTGAAGCAGCAGAACACTCACAAGGAAAGAGACCTTATCTTTCCAAATTTTCACCTGCATCAAGGCAACATGGGAGAACTACAAGGGAGATGAATTTGGGACAGATATTCTGAACACCATGAATATGAAATAATATTTGATTCCCACCCTGAGTTTTTTATTTGGCTTAAGATAGTACATTATTGTGGCATATTTTCTATTAATATTATTATTATTATTATTACTTTTTTTTTTTGCATATTGAGTACTTTCTACCAATCAGCAAAAATTTTAATGTCAATGCTATACAGTAGCATATCACATTTCAAGATGACTAGCAATTCAGTGGCAAGGTTTGCTGTCAAGCCTGCCCTACAGGTTGTATTCAAGGCCACAATTGTTAAAATGGAAGATGTATGTTAACGGGTATGTCACACTTCTTATAGAATCTCTAGTCCTTGATCAGGCTGATTACTAATAGGGATATGAAAGTCTGAACCTTCTCATTAGTCCTTCAACAAAGATTTTCAAATGAGTCATTGAAGAGTGCATGAGTAGATAAAGCTGTACCGTAGTTTTTCAGCCGACAATGCACTTCCTGTCTGTCCTTGACTGCAATTGAGAAGAGAAGAAAAAATATACTAAACTTTTGCTGAAAACATGGCATCACAATCAATTGCTGTGTATGTCATATACAGAATGATGAAACAGGCCTACGATATAGAACAATAACTTTACAATGTAAAGCCTACAATTTCATTCCATCTCTACAAGCAATTACCTTTCAAGCTTATCTTTGTTGAAGTGGCCCAATGAAGCATGAGAAAGGTAAGCCTACAGTGGAGGGAAGAAAGAACAAATGGACAAACATGATCCAACTACTTGAAAATTTATGCACTATTCTCCATTACTTGAGTTACATGAAATAAGAATTAAATGTCTTCTTCCCACATTGGTCTGTAAAAAAACAAGACATTCTAGGGAAATGTCCAGGATTTTTTCCAAAGTGCTTGAAAATCAGCCTTCCAGGCTAGATTACATGACTTGACCTGATTTAAACTTTTCCTTTATTTCACTAAAAACTTGAAAAGTAAGCATACCTTGTCTTCCTCACCATCTTCTAAGTTTTGTCCTAAAAATAACAATTCCAAAATGTCAAAGTTAACAATTCACAACCAAGAAGAATAAGAAAAAAACCTTTGAAGCTGTTCCAATATTGAGGCCTTAAATTTAATGTTTAGTCAAGAGCTAAAACTGTTGAGAAAACTGTACAAGTTATGGAATGCAATAGATTGACTGCACTGATAAATTCCACAAAATCAAAATAATTATAATAAAAAAACATTCCAACAAGTTCTTACCCCAGCCACCAAACTTAAGTGCACTGTTCTGCTCTACAGGAAGCAGATCAGTGGGTTCCTCCTCCAGCTGTTTGAGGGACTCCAAGAGGTCATCAAAGGTTGTTTTGCTTTCACCACCAACCTGAGAGCTTAAAAAAAATACATGTTTATCAGCTGAGTAGATTTTCTTCTGGATCTTAGGAGTGACAAGGTTGCAAATACAAGATTTTTCATATCGTTGAGACTAATTAATCAACTAAATACATAACATACCTGGTTATTATCTTATCTGTGTCATCTGTGCGATCAGAGAATAAGGGTCCTGCTGCTAGCTCATCTGAAGTGGCAGCAGCTGTGCTAACTTGAGATTCTCGAGATTCCTGCAGTAAATAAAACATGATTTATCAATTCACAAACTTATACAGTTTATGATCAAAATATAATAACATGAATGCACAATACAGCTGAACCCTGCTATCTCAAACCATGGCTAACTTTAATATCTTGCCATTTCAAAATCATTCCTGGAAGATACTTCCCCTTATAGTTGTGAGTGACATACAGTGTTCCCCCTTATTTAAAGCATGACAGGTAAAATAAATTTTCAAACCGGTAAAGCAGTCCTTTTACCTGTTGAATTTTCAAGAATTCCAAGCAATTTTAAATGGTAATAAGAGGTACTACAGGCAGTAAATGTTACCAGTTACTGCCTGAAAAGGAAAACACTGGACATACCTGGAATAACTCATCAACTTTCCTTCCAACACTGCTGGCTGTCCCAGGTCTGGATGTTATTTCAATGGGATTACCTTGCTCGTTATTTTTCACAGCACTATTGGATGCACCTAACACTGTGCTCTTCTTCCCTTTGGGTTTTGATTTGACTGCTGAACTGAGATTTGCTGACTTCTTTTTGCTGACTTTCCCACTAGCTTGGAGAAAAACCTGTCAAAAAACAAAAGCAAAGTTACATGTTATCACTGAATACTTAAGATTTATTCAACTAAGAACACTTCAAACAATACTTTCACAACCACAGTAGGCTTTATAATTATCAAATTAGTTTAATTTGTTAGGTTTACTTCAGCTTTGCACAGCTTGGCAGCAGGCACACGTAATGAAAGAGAGTGACAGATAAGTGCCACTCTTGATAACATCAGATCTTCCAGCATGGCTGAAACCCTACTTGAATGTCAAACAAAAAATTTCAAGTTGCACTCAGTTGCAATAAAAAATCACTTCCAATACCAGTTCTTCCTCTGCCTTCCTTTGATTCTCATTCCGTTTTTCCTCCCTCTTCTTTTGTAGTTCCTCTATAGCAGCCTGTCTTGCCAATCTAGCTTTCTCTTCTCGTCGTTTCCTCTTTTCATCTTCCTTCTGATCCTTAAGTTGGTTAAGAGATACAAAGGAAAGTTTAGACTGTAACAAGGTTGCTGATCATCAAATTAGGTATATCTTTTCTTTATTGTAACACTTAACAATTGGTTCATACGTCAGCACGCGTTCATCGAGATATGAAGCATGCGGGAAGTTTGGAGAGCACAAAAGATGCATAATGCAAAGATGTGTCCAAACTTCCCAAGTGCTTCATATCTTGATGAACACACAGATGACGTATGAACCAATTGTTTTATAACATTTTCAAGCTAATGGAAAATTTTTTTTTCTTGAGGGATTTGTTTGTTGACATCATAAGCATGCACAATAGGAATATGAAGCACACTCGCACAATTGAATTTGATTAGACAAATTTACCAGCTATGTTATAAAACACATTTACCTCCATCTGTACATTTGCATGGTCACTGACCATCTGTTTCTCCTTCTCAGTTTTCTTCTGACTTAAGAGTTGCTTTACAGCACTTTGTCCTCTGAGTTGCTTACGGGTTTTCCATCCACGGAACCAACGTTGAATGTTCACAGCAGCTTTCCGCCGTTTTTTCTCACCCTCATCCTCTAAAAGTTCATCAAGAAACAATTTTGGTACATCTTCTCTTTTTGTTGTTGATTTGTCCACCTTGAGTCTTGCCTCGCCTTCAAAAATGTCTAAATCAAGGTTATTCTGATCAAAAACATTATTGCCAGGACGCAAATTGTTGATATCATTTTGAAGAAAATCTTCATCTATGTGATTGCTTGTCTTGCTTGCACCAGGCCACCAGTTATGTTTCTTGTCCAATTCTGTAGGAGACTGCAGGAACAGTGGAGGGACTGGTGCAGGATCAGAAGCTGACAGCCACCATTCATCAACTTCATCAGGTTGAACACTATGCTGCGCCATTGCTGAAGGTCTGTCTGGTAGAGCATTAGGGCTTGCTTTAGCAGCATTGCTGTGGCGCTTAATAAAAAAACATAACATGTTTAAATCAGTGACCTCAGATATCAACATCATTAATACGCAATACACCCTAACATCAGTATGCATTTTATCCATACTGTCAGGTGATTCACAGTAAGCGAGAGACAACTTGGAAGCATGCAAATCTTCTCAGTATGATGTTAATTGGCCAGAGTTTCAAAAGCAGAAGGTTCAAGCAATAGCCCTTCATCAGGGCCTGAACCTCAGAAGGGGATGGTGACACATTTTCTTTGACAAAGGGCTAACACTTGGAATGTCAGCTTTTGAAACTCTTTACCATGGTCAGTTACATTATTAACTCACCTGGTAAAAGCAGAGTATCTTGTAACACCCCCAATGAAGCAGCACTGCAGTTTCTCACCCCTTTAATTCAAATCCCCTTAGTTCAAATAATGTTGAATTTAAACATCCTCTTATTTCATTTTAAAGAGTGTTTACCTGAAGCACATACACATGTTTGAACAAAATTACCTGGAATGTTGTGGCCAGTTTAGGTTTAGTGCGAGCTTTAGCTTGAGACATGATGTGTGGGATATGATCCTCAGAAAACCTAAGCAGAAGCACAATAGAATTTCATTCCAACATGGATTATTAAATTTCACTTAGACTGCACTATCACACCAGGCTGCAAGTTGTTCCAAACAGCATAAACCAATTAGAAAAATTTTCTGTTCAACAAGTAATGCTTACTTGATTTGTAATTGGTTTACCATGTTTTAAAAAGATTACCTTGCTGGGGGAATGGTCTTTTTATTAACATTCTTCCTTCTTGCTCCTGAGCTACTGCTAGTCCTTGCGCTGTCACTGTCGCTACCAGATACATGAACCTCATTGTGTTGTGGCCTCACAATGCCTGCACTGCCACCTTAATACACAAATTACAGAGCATAATTTCAATTTCTGCACATATCAACATCTTATTGTTCAAGAGCAATGGCTGCATTGGGAAATATTCCCCTCTACACTTTGCTCTGTTAAAATGAAAAAGATAGAGGACCAATATTCCCTGATGCTGCCCTAAGTAGTTCATTAAATAGGATATTTGATTATATTATCATTGGATCACAGCTTACTCAATATTCTACAACTTTCTACATGAAGTTCACAAAAAAAAATGTGGCAAAAGAGAATGGTGATTGGGGTGGCACTTTCATAACTCACAATGGCCATAACAGTTAGTTTGAAGTCTCTTAGTCAAAATCCCTTTTAATTTTTTTTTTTAATTCAGTGATCTTATTGATAAAAATATGTCAGTTGAAGTCATGCACATGTAAAGCATGCAAAGCATTTTCAGAGTTGCCAGTGATTTGTGGTGTAATTCATAAGTACCATATAGAAAATGGTTGTAATCAGACAGACAGAAAATATGACTTACTTCTTTTATGGTGACTAGATTTCTTGGGAACTTTGCTTGTTCCAGTTACTGATAGAAAGTCACTCATATCAGAATCCTGTTTATAGAGAATAAAGTCATTGTAATGATGTTGCACTTATAAATGCGGTTAGATATAGGTATTTAGGTAGCTCAGGTATTTAGAAGTTAAACCAACGTCTAGGTTAGGTACTTGCAAGAAAAATGTACATTACCAAAGATATGTGACATTACAAATAGCATGTCAGCTAGGTCTTGGCAAACGCTGTCATACAGGCCATCCTTAGGTTTTTAAGCTGTTAGTGCCTCCACTTATCTACTTCAACATAAGTTCAATATCAAACACCCAATGGCAATGTTTTCTAACGCCAACCAACAACAACTACTCCGATGACAATCATTTAACCGATCTTGCAGAAACGTACACGAACAACACTCACCAAACTTGCATTTGATCTCGCTGAATATTTACTTGCATCTGCAGAACTTGGCCTGCTACTCTTAGCTGAGCTTGGTCTTTTCGCTGACAAGTTTTCGGCTGATCCGGAAGCAATCACTCCTCTTTCAAATTTCTTACTTTTCAAAGACATAGCTTTTTCCTTGGCTCAACTCAATAAATTCAATATTTCTGTCAACCAAACGTTTAAAAGAGGCTCTTCATCGTCCACCAGCATCGTCACTTTGCTTCCAAAAATGAGCCACATCAATTGACCACAGCCTTATTCTTGTCAGAAAACAAATTTGTTGTCGTTGTTGACAACAAAATTGGCGCTCTTGCGACGCCATTACGGTTTTAGAGAAGCTGAACGGCTACCAAGCAAGCCTCTGCTCGAAAGGCCTGGCGGGAATGATGAACGTCGTGGAAGGAACACAGTTCTGAGTACGAAAAAAAGTAAGGCAGTCTTCTCTTGTTCTCCAACTCAATAGTATACGCGGATAATTCCCTTAAGGAGTTCCAAAAAGAATTCCACCTTTGCAAATTAAGTGACCCAAAACACGGTCATCATTATCTTAGAATGGCAGTCCCATACTAAATTTCTTCTCTCTCGGGGCTAAAATTTCCTTTTAAAATATTACTGGAAAAAAAACTCCTCCATTAAATATTTATTTATTTGCACAAGCTGATCTAGAAATGGAAAATGGGAAATGAAATAACTGCCACTCTGAAATTCATCCAGGAGAATCACCTAGTGCTGCCTTCTATCCAGGGATCGAATATTCTCGTTTTACAAAGACAAAACCTTCTAAGGCTTGCTGAGAAAACTTTGTTGTATAGTAAGCGGCAGCTATAGGCTAAAAGCGCAAAAACTTTCCAATCAAGTCGAGAAACATCGCGTTAGTTTAAAAGATATTAACATTCCTTAATAATTTGATTAGTATCGTGTTAAAATGTTAATTCTTTATGAGAACCAGGAACATGTTACCACGAGGAAATATTACGTTGATTTTACCAAAGTTTTCCACTCAAATCCCAGAGGAATCCATTTCAGAAAATATTTTCTTTTACTCAAAGCCTGTTACGCGACACTCAGCTACGTGAAGAGATGGTTACTATCTGAAGTGATGGACGGTCTCGTTAAGTGCAATTATCCATTCCTTTGGTAACAACAAGAGGTTGGTTAGACACTAAAATGAAAATGAAAACTCTAACGAAGACAACAACTAGAAATTGGGGGAAAACTCAGAAATCGTTTGGTAAAAGGCTGACTTCGTCTATGTAAAATTCGAAGTAGTGCTTTAACAAATATCCACAAAATTGTTGCATTGGTCCTTCACAACAAGTCATTATTTCATTTTCAAGATACTGTATTTCCTGCAAGGAAAATCGAGCTTGTGCTATGTAATAACTATTTCGGGACGTGACCTTTCAGTGAGTTTTTTATTTCGCATAATCCAAAACTACCCTGATGCATGGAGTATGAAGCATGACATATTTACGAGGATTCCGTGGTTTGACTTTTCATGTGAAACTCTTTGTTCCGCTACATAACTTCAAGATAATTGCATCACGTAGGATTACATCCGTTTGAAAAGCGTCAGAGGTTGAACCGCTTATCGTGGTTTTGTGACTGTAAAAGGAATAAGGAATTTGCACTATTATTGTCATGCAAAATTAACGAATCTGTTTCATTCTTTTAAGCGACGAATTTCACTGCTCTCTAAGTGATATCCGGCCTGCAAAGCTAGTCGCACCATGACGGTTTTGCAACGAAAATTAAAGGAAATACTCACACTGAGCCTTCCCTAAATCAGTTGATAATGTTCATCAGTTCATCAGTCATCGAGTTCGATGCATTTTGTATTCAACTTCCGCTTTCAGAACGCTTTCAATATCCGCGCGTTCGTTTCGCGTCTCGCGCGTTTTTCTCGCGTTCAGCTTTTTTTTTTTTTTTTCCCTCACTGAGTGTGGAAAGTGAAATATGATCAGACTATCTTTCCCACAACAAACAATCATCGCAATCCGGGTCAATTACAGATTTGTGCGAACTTGTTCTCAATCATCGCTCCGTGAATTCGACGCTAAATTAAATGACACGTTGTGTAAAATTATAGGTTATTGCGTAAAGACCACAAATTCAGCAATTCTAGTACATTCGAGTTGGTAATATTTGCTTAGAGATTTTTACAAAAGAGATGATTCAACACGGTTGTATTTAATCATTTACGTAATTTCTCTTTGTGTGCTGAAAACCAAGATTGTGGACAGAATAAGTTTGAAAATAATCTACCGCACAATAAAACTTGGCATCGTTAGAGCGACATCTATAAATATTTATCGGTCTGAGTAGACAGAGAACGTTTATAAATGAAAACCGCCACGAGCGAAAACCGCAAAAGATGCAAATCTGTACTTTCATTTTTTATGATCACGCCACGTCACGTTGCGTGACGCCTGTCCACCAAAATAAAGTTTGATGTAATCCGTATTTTAAATTTTCACACCTTGGCCTTCTTTAAAGTCCTTAAAATCAGTGATATGTACTGTAAAACTGATATGAATGCAAGTTAGAGAGCTACAAGTGATTTGCCTCCTGAATGTTTCCGATACTTAAGACGCACGCAAATAAACTCAGACCCAAACAGCGCACTAAATTTGCGTATCCATGATTTCATGCTTCAACTAATCGATTTGTAATTTTGGTTGGCCTTCAGCTGATCTGGATCGACAAAAGAAACGCTAAACCTTCCCCTGGGGCAACCGTCGGTCTTTTCATTGATATTGATAAAATAAATGATTCGGCAGAATTGAAAAACACATCGTGCGTCCAATATATAACTTATATATTCTTATTGTGAACAACGTCGTAAACAAAGTACAGCTGTTACGAGCGATCTGATGTACGGTTTAAAAATAAAGTCAGGAAACAAATTGCCACTCGAGGATTACAAAGATGTAAAAAATTTAAATCCTGGGAGACAATCGGACGAGAACGGAATTCGAAACGCGATTAGGTGAACGAACGAACGAAACAAATGTCAACTTTGATTGATCCACAGCGCGCACGAATGGAATTAAATTGAACAACGACGTAGTTGACGTAACACGCCTCTATTTTCCACAAAGTCGATGTGCCTCGAACCCCTCGCGACAGATGTTATTTTTTTAGGTAGCTTGACGACGATATGTTGCGATGTTATTCTGGGAAACCTCCTCCAGCATAATCTTGCAACAGCGCTAAATTACACATATACATGTATTACCAAAACGCCTTGCATTGTTCATAATGAACAGTGTTAGGTATCAAGGAAATTGTCAACTTGGCCCGCACGTGATTGGTGAATGAGTGAAATCGGCTTGCAGGGGGCGTGCGGCCAACCAATTAGCATGCAAGATCATTGTTTCTGTACAGAACTCAACATCACAGACGACTTGAATTGAAAAGCAATCTTAGCTTTTCACGTTTCCGCCTTTAGAACGTCGAGTCGCATAACCGTGTTCGAAACTATGCTAACGAGAATTTTGCCGCCCGATAGAACCACTGTTTTCGCTGTCTAAAATAGAGACATGGATAGATCGCCCGAAAAATCGGCCCTTTTATCGACAAAAGTACAAAGTTTGGAAGCGAAGACGGCCAACCCTCGTCAACAATTCGCCCATGAGGCTGTAACAACAAACCCGATCTTCCGCCAACTCAAAGCTTTTTCTTCACAATCTACGCTGGAAAATGGTTCCAATTCAGCAGGCTTTCCTTCACCAGAAGTGGGCATCGCGAGAAATTCGGAGTTTATCTCTCCCTTACAAGCGCAATATTATCCACCAACCGTGCCGAGTGCAGGTAAGTTCTCACAGTTTTCTTCGCTTGTTCAATTATTTATTGTGCCAGTTCGCGCAAAACCGTGGGAAATCAATGGCTTTGACGATTTTTTCGTCAAATAACACGTGGGATTTAAATTCACCCTTCGTACTAGCGTTTTTCCTGGATATTTCGTGCTCGTTCGAAGGGGCGAAAATTAAGATATTTCTTCGGGACTGAATCAACGTAATCGAGTCTGAACATTGTACCACGGTTTGGTGGTTCGACTGATATTAGCTGAATTGCCAAGTAGGCACAAATAACATTGCCAAGTTTAGGTTTTCGGAATCACAAAGCTAGTGGGTATACAGTATTTGTTAGCAACTTGCATTTTTGCGACGATCTGTGTGCCTTTGCTTGTCGCAAAACGAAATGATCATGTGGAATCTGGACTCAGACTATCTGTATTCGATCATGTTACGTACTTCGCAGCTAATAGGGGTAGAGTAGTCTTGTCCGCGTGAGCTATACGTGACTAGGTGCTGTCTTAAGTTAGATCGGTAAAATCGACTGTTTTAGCACCGCAGTTACGCTTTATAGTAGCAGATTTGTTATCCCAGCTGAAAGGAAAATTTTTGCTTTTGTTGTATCTAACTAAACCGTGTGGTGTTTTTGAGGTAGATTCGTTTTATTTGCTAGGAAGGACAGACAATAATGCCAAGTCATAGTTTTGAAAGACCCTTTCTTTCGTATTACAGAGCTCAAAATATTCAAAACTTCTACAGTAGGCGCACAAGCCATATTCGTGTATTTAATAATCCCATCAAAATCGGCGCTGTTTATCAGGCGCTCGGCCGCGTCAAGTATTTTAGTGATATTCATCACGGCATACTCTCTGTTCGTCATTGCATCATCGGGATTTTCTTATCGTTTTCGACTTTTTTCAAGCATAGGCGAGAAGGAAAAAAAACCGAATACTGTCATGACATCGCTTAAACAGCGCGCGATCGCTAGAAATTGTGAAGTCGAACGGTTATCGTTGACTCTAATACGGCGGCTAGTCTTTTTAAATTCACTTCCTCTAGGCGTCAACGAGAATGAGTTGAAACGATCTTGGAAAGCAACGGATGGCTTGAATCTCCGTGCAGCTGAGTAGGCCAGTGTTTGCAAACAACGGGAAAATTATTTAGATTTGAAGTTTTCCGACGAAGTGTAAGCAGTCGCTTTTCAAGAATTTTGCCTTCCGCGAACATAACAAGACGCCAACACGCGATCTCACTATATTTGCGCGTGATTATGTCTTCGATATTCAGCTCTTTTACTTGAGTTGTAATTTGCAGCATTGTTTGTCCCTGAAAAACCTACCAGTTTACTTATTTTATTCTGTGTTATACTGCTTTTATGACTATTTTGTCACCAACATACTGGTGTTTGATTTTTGGTCAATGGTCTTCAGTCATGTTTTGTCCGTGACTTCTCCGTTAGCGCTCGTGGAGAACAGCGAGTTTTCATTTACGTTAAAGAAGCCTCCCTGTTTCTTGATCGATTTGAATCAGTTAAGTCGACAATTCTATGTCAATTGCCTTTATTCACAGAAAATGAGTTAAGAACTCGATTTTCTAGTAAATTCCTCGTTCTGTTGCGATGTACAATAGTTCCAACTCTGCGAACAATATGAGATTATTCCAACGCCTGTTATCTTTCACTTTGTTAAGCTTGGAAATGTTTCGATTCTAGTTTAAAAGCTTAAAAGAGAAAATAGCGCGTTGTGGAAAATATTAATTGATCGGTGCAAAAAACCGAAAAAATAAACAGCAGGGTATATGTATGCCGCGAGGGGTGAGCGGATAAGCTCATAATTCTCACTGATGGTAGAGCTCGTGTATCAAAGTAAATCTATTTTCGCGAGCGCAGGATGTTTCATTGATATTTTTTCTACCGTCTTAGTGATCCGCTTCTTCTTCTGCATTGAATCAGAAACTGTGTTCACAATTAAACGAACTCAAACGAGCAGACTAGAAATCGAAAATAGGCGCTTTTTATTTGCGTTCCCATAATTGTTCGTTAATAGGTCTGTTGAAATTTTTCGATCAAAACGTGCCAAGTACTTCTGTTAGAATTTTGAAATATGGGAACATAGCTTCGAAGGAAAGTTCTTACTGAGGGCAGATATTTAGCAATACGTCGCGTATTCAAACATGACACGATTTTAGTGTCTGTAATTGAAAACCTAGGCATATTCAATTTAGCCCTATAACCATAACAAATACCAGACGTTGTAGAGTTGACATCCGGCAGCATTCGTTCGCGGCTGACCAACCTTTGTCTAGGAAAAAAATTTTTCTGAGTAATTCTGAAAGAAGGAAGGAAAACTGGCCATAATGGCTTTGTGTCTATTTGGGAGCCGAGTGGGAGAGACTAAGAAAACAAAGAAAACGAGTTGTTGCGAGTCGTACGTAACTGCGATGCAAAGATGGTTCTTACTGCCTTTGTTGATCCCTGTCCTCCTGATATTGTAATGCATATCAGACCCGCACGCATGCTTGACTAGAAGCGCTTTTTGTTACGTGTTTCAAATATAAATAGACTTTATTCCTATTGGAATGCAAATTTGAGCTCTCAACCAGGTTTTAAGTTTTCTTCATCACGTTTACTTCAATTTGAATCCTTGTTTGTACATACAAAATTCCTCTTGGGTAGGCAGTTTGAAAACCTTCAGTTTTTGAATACTCGAGAGCGCTTTGAACTCTAGACATTTTCAAACATGATAACGATTTCGCTTGAATTCGCTGATAAGACAATATGTAGCTGAAAGGGGTGGTTACGTCACCTTTAGTAGCGTCGTTTTGAGATTTCTCTTAAATTTGCGAGTTTCTTTATTTTTCACGTGCTAAACCCACGCTTTACATTAGGATTTATGCAGCGTGGTGTTTCATAATGCATGATGTGTTATTAATCATATATAAACCACTGTCCATGAGGAAAATCGTTATCCTATACCACTCTCAAGACAAAAATAACTGAATCAGTTTACTTCAGTTTTAAACAAGATTCTTTTGTTGCGCGAGATAGTTTGGAAACCATTTGTGTAGTTGCAGAAAGCGAAAAATAACAAAACACTTTACAGTGAAACTTTTTCAGCATAGCGTTTGTTTCACTCATGCGGAACATAACGAAAGTGAAATGCACATGGTTTAGGGTTCGTTTACACTTCGTTTTCTAAGCGCCGCGACGCATCAAACTTCCGCTTAAGTGTCCATTGATTTATTTATGTACTTAAATTTATTTCGGTAAATATTTAGTGTATAGTTGTTGCTAAGAAGTGAGCAACTATATTTAAAAGTGTTAATTTTGAAAAACTCATTGACTCTTTGAAGGAAAGGTGTTTCATTTTCTTCAAATGAAGAGATGAATCCGCCTGTTGGTGTGTTTCAATTGGTTAGTATTTTTTCTGTGTCTCAGTTTCCTTCTTCAATTTAAATTCAGTCCGGATCAGTATTAGATTATGTCCTGGTGGTTTACAAATGTTGAGTTAATTTCCTTTCAGGAGCAATCATTTCCACGAAAAAAAAAAGTTTTCTAAAATGCTTATTCGGATTTGCAAGGCAACTTTCATCGCTGCAATTAATAACGATGAACATTTTCCAATTGTTCAGTAATTCGTTAGTTTTTGTCGTGAGATGGAAATTTTGTCGGTCAAAAGTACTTTGAATTTTAGTTTTCACTTTCATCGTGTCGCATCCATGTATTAGGACCGAAATAACCTGTTTCTACTGTCTTCCGGTTCCACAATCTGAAATTTTCGTGGCAATGTGGGGAAACAATGCGAAATCGAAAGAAAGATGTCCTAACGTCTCCTTTATCAACATTTGGTTGAATTGTTTTGGTTTTTTTTTCACTTTGACGAGTTTTGTTAATTAAACATTTTTTTAACGTAGCAGAAGTACAGAGTTTTCAGATTCGGTTATCCTTCTTTGTCAAATAACTAACGAATCTTTTTTTTTTTGCGTATCTGTTTTTATATCCGACAGAAGTGTATTTGTATGCGTAAAAAAGGAAAAACATTGCTGTTTCCGTTGTATATCAGATATTTGCATCTAACCAGGAAAATTTTCACACTTCTTTAAAATTTTGATGTCGTAGCTCCGATATCGCAGCTTTGAATATGCACAGTAGAAGAAATGTTAGGGATGTTTGTTATTCTTTTGTCTACATAGGATGCAAACGCAAACAAATTTAACTGACTCAAACTCCATTCGATCTTCCAAAAGGCACAGAGAAAAGTAAATTAGGGCTTACGAAATAAACAAATGCTTGATCATGACGGGTAAAGGTACGAACTTTTTTCGAGGAACTTTTAATAGCTGGTTTCATTAGGTGTTAATCGAGAAGAAAGTATTTTCTATTTTTCTCGCCGACTTTTGTGATCTATTGACAACAAACTACAGGTACCTCGGCGCCAATTACGTCGAAAATGTGTTCAATTTACATGTAAAAGATGATCGATGTTTTTTTTTCTGAAGCATCGCGTGCTTTTGTGACCGCTTATATGTTTTCCCCGCGAGAGAGAGCGTCCTGATATTTCAAGTATTCCTCAAAAAAAGTCGCAAATATTGCGCGACTGCCAAAAATTTCGAACGTGCGAATCTTGTTTACAATCCACAATGGAGCAAAGAGTACCACTGCGATCGATTTGAATAAGAGAAGAGATTACCATAATAATTGTCAAACAACCTTAGTTCGCCCCCGCTTCGTACACGTTTCACACTTTTTCACACAGTTTATTTTCGAAATATTTCTGTGCATAACACAAGCGGGTCTTTTGTGCGTTTTTTCGTAAGAGAAATTGTCTCCGATATGACCGAAAATCGTCGAATTTTGGCAATTTAAGCTCTTATGTTTCTCTGAGAACGTCTTTCAAGGCATAACGTACCAAGCAACACTGTCTCGACACAAAAGTTCAAGCACTTAAGATTGCAAGTTTCGACGCGCGGTATAAACGCTGAACTGAAAAAGGTATGTTTCTCGCAGTTATTTTGGTA